GAGCATGCAACTCTTGATCTCGGGATTGTAAATTCAAGCCCCGTGTTGGGTATAGAGATTAGTTAAAAATAAATTCTTTTTTTTTACATTTTTTATTTTATTTACTTTATTTATTTTTAAGATGTTATTTATTTATTCATGAGAGAGACACACACACAAAGAGGCAGAGACACAGGCAGAGGGAGAAGCAGGCTCCATGCAGGGAGCCTGACATGGGACTTGATCCTGGGTCTCCAGGATCGTGCCCTGGGCTGAAGGCAGTGCTAAACTGCTGAGCCATCCGGGCTGCCCTAAAAATAAAATCGAGAGAGAGAGAGAGAGAGAGAGAGAGAGAGAGAGAGAGAGAGAGAGAGGCTTCCCTTTCCAACCCAAGGCAATGGGAGGACAGTGTGCTGATAATGCGGCTGTACCAGCTGCTGAATTCCCAAAATGTCTTTGCATGTGATGCTACAGAGTCTCTCATGCTCCTCCCAGGGACTCCCTGAACTTGCTGGCACACCCTAGCCTGGCAAGCGGGTGCATATTTTGAATATCATTCTAGATGGGTGAGTTTGTCTTTTTTTTTAAAGATTTTATTTATTCATTCAGAGAGAGAGAGAGAGAGAGAGAGAAAGGCAGAGTCACAGGCAGAAGGAGAAGCAGGCTCCATGCAGGGAGCCCGATGAGGGACTGGATCCCAGGTCTCCAGGATCACACCCCGGGCTGCAGGCAGCGCTAAACTGCTCTGCCACCGGGGCTGCCCTAAAATTTTTATTCTTTTTTTTTTTTTAAGATTTTATTCAGATGGGTGAGTTTGGGAGGAGACTTGGTTTCATTGAGTCAAGAACTGTTGGGTTGGGCGAACTCTATTTTGTGACTTTTAAGGCCTAATTGAAATCAAATGAGGGCAGTCCGGGGCGGGGCGGGGGGGGGGGGGTGCTCAGCAGTTTATTGCCCGCCGCCGTTAGCCCAGGGCCTGATCTTGGAGACCCAGGATCAGGTCCCACGTCAGGCTCCCTGCAGGGAGCCTGCTTCTCCCTCTGCTTCTCCCTCTGCTGTGTCTCTGCCTCCCTCTCTCTCTGTCTCTCGTGAATAAATAAAATCTTAAAAGAAAGAAAGAAAGAAAGAAAGAAAGAAAGAAAGAAAGAAAGAAAGAAAGAAAGAAAGAAAGAAAGAAAAGAAATCAAATGAAAAGCCACTGTCTCTGGACAAAAGAATTAAAGGGGAAGTTGTGGGTATTCTCAGGAAGGGTTTACGATTTGTTTTTTTGTTGGTTTGTTTTTTGCTTGTTTAAAAGAAATCTAGGGGGATCCCTGGGTGGCGCAGCGGTTTGGCGCCTGCCTTTGGCCCAGGGCGCGATCCTGGAGACCCGGGATCGAATCCCACGTCGGGCTCCCGGTGCATGGAGCCTGCTTCTCCCTCTGCCTGTGTCTCTGCCTCTCTCTCTCTCTGTGACTATCATAAATAAATAAAAATTAAAAAAAAAAAAAAAGAAATCTAGGGGCGCCTGGGTGGCTCAGCGGTTGAGTGGTTGAGCGTCTGCCTTTGGCTCAGGGAGGGTGTGATCCTAGGGTCCTGGGATAGAGTCTTGCATCAGGGTCCTGCTTCTCCGGCCTGTGTCTCTGCCTGTTTCTGTGTCTCTCATGAATAAATAAATAAAATCTTTAAAAAAAAAAGAAAGAAAGAAAAGGGACGCCTGGGTGGCTCAGCGGTTAAGCGTCTGCCTTCGGCCCGGGGTGTGATCCTGGAGTCCCAGGATCGAGTCCCACATCAGGCTCCTGCATGCAGCCTGCTTCTTCCTCTGCCTGTGTCTCTGCCTCTCTCTTTCTCTCTCTCTCTCTCTCTCTCTCTCTGTGTGTGTGTCTCTCATGAATAAATAAATAAAATCTTAAAAAAAAAAAAGAATAGAAAGAAAAGCCTAGAGTCAGCTCCCTCTACCATATCAACCACCATGAGGCTCTAAGAACATGTCAGTCCTTGTCCCAGGGCATGAAGGAGAGAGTAGGAGGAACAAGCTGACCTGGCAAAGAGTACTCAGGCCTCTATGTCTTAGGACAGTAGGACAGGGCAGGGTGGCGGCCTGCAGTTGGCTCAGCGTGAGGACAGCAGAGCATGGAGAGCTCCTTGGACTGTGGTGGTGGAGTGCCAAAGACCTGGCTCCCAGCCCCGGGGCTACGTGCCAGCAAAGAGTTTTTAATAGCTCCAGAGTTTTCCAAGATTCCCTGGAGTATGTTGCTCCCCCTGAAGCTCCTTACACAGACCAGGCACACCACAATGACTCAGCGTTTCTGTCCCTGACCACTTGTAGGCATTCACATCCACTGTAACCTCGGGCTGCTGGGATGCCCAGCTCACCTTGTTCTGGGCCATCACAGGTCACTGTTCCACTTAGCTCTGGCTGCATGCTCACCAGCACCATCCTTGAATCTGTGCCCAAACAAAAGAGGGTCTGCTCAGTCTCAAAGCCTCAGGAGAGTACTGCCACTCACTCGTGCCCACTGCACAGGGCATTTGCTCAGAGCCCAGTCCAGTCTGGGGGAGTGAGAGGGACTGTCCTGAGGCTGAACCAATGCAGGTCACCCTTTATCAAGGCCCGTGTGACCAGGGGTACATTTGGTTTTGTTTTTAAGATTTCATTTATTTATTTGAGGGATGCCTGGGTGGCTTAGTGGTTGAGCGCCTGCCTTCGGCCCAGGGAGTGATCCTGGAGTCCCAGGATCGAGTCCCGCATCGGGCTCCCTGCATGAAGCCTGCATGAATCTTAAAAAAAAAAAAAAAAAAAAAAAGAAAAGAAAAGAAAAAAGAAAAGATTTTATTTATTTATTTGAGAGAAAGAGAGTGAGAGAGTACAAGCAGGGGAGGAGCAGAGGGAGAGGGAGGAGCAGAGGGAGGGGGAGTAGCAGGCTCCTCACTGAGCAAGAGTTACTGAGGTGGGGCTGGACTTCAGGACCCTGGCTGGGATCTTGACCTGAACCAAAGGCAAATGCTCACCCAACTGAGCCACCCAGGTGCCCCCAGGTGCGAACTTGTGTAGAGTAGTGACCTCTCTATGATTCCCACAGGGAAGCTGAAGCGGGTATTGTGGCAGTCGGAGGATACATGGGGCAGGGGCAAGTGATTTGGCAGGCAGGAAAAGGCCTTGGCAGCCTGAGAAAGGAGGAGCCAGTGACTGCCTGAGGGACAGGGAGGAGGGAGCAGACGCTGGACGCTGGCCAATTGGGCTGAAGGTCTGATGCACTAGAGGTCCCGACCTAGAGGTCAGACTGGAGACTGGTGCCAGGTATAAATGCGGCATCATCCATGAAGAAGAGATGTCAGTGGGTCCCCAAGGTGGAGGAGAAAAGAGCCCCTTCAAAGCAATCATGTCCCATTGGTTCTCTCACCCCAAGATCTGTCACCCCTGCAAGGAAGCCAAAGCATCCTGGAACAAAAGGACACCACTGGGTGTGTACCTGTCATAGAAGTGGTCTCATCACCCCTAGGTCCAAGCAACCTCCCCAGACCCCCACAATTCAGGTAAGGGCCAGATTCCTTATCCCCACACTCAGCCCCAAGGCTCCCTCTTCCCCACACTGACAACTTTCCTTGCACTGTGGCACGCCCTTGCCTACCCTCCTTCAGGGCCTGGGTCTTCTGTCTCCGCCTGGGAGAATTCACTGGGCAGTCCTCCCTCCAACCCTGCTTCACCATTTAAGGGGCTCTGCTGGATGGTGACCTCCGAGGGGTCACTCCTAGGCTTTTTTAAAAAGATTTTGTTTATTTATCCATGAGAGATAGAGAGAGAGAGAGAGAGAGAGAGAGGAAGGCAGAGACACAGGCAGAGGGAGAAGCAGGGGAGCCCAGTGCGGGATTCGATCCCGGTTCCTGGGATCACGTCCTGAGCCAAAGGCTGAGCCACCCAGGCATCCCGCTGACTTGGGGTTCTTGATCCTTTTCAGGGTCACTCTGTGCATAATGCTTCTTCACTTGGGGAGTTCCCCCATGTCCCCAGTTTACACATTCATTCACTTGTGCAGCAAATACTAAGGCTGGTTCGTGGCAGGCCTTCCAGGCAAACAGTTGACCATTAGAGTCACTCCACCTTTATTTATTTATTTATTAAAGATTTTATTTATTTATGAGAGACACAGAGAGAGGGAGAGAGAGGGAGGGAGAAGCAGGCTCCCTGCAGGGGGCCCGACGTGAGACTGGATCCCAGGTCCCCAGGATCAGCGCCTGGGCCGAAGGCGGCGCTCAAGTGGCCTGCCCAGTCTCTCCACCTTTAATCCAGGGGTGCGGGCCAGTGAGCATCCAGGCGGTGGCCCGCTCCCTGCGGCTGCTCCTGGTCCAGCGCGGGAACGAGGCCAGCTTGGAGACTGCCCAGGGCCTGGTACCCGTCACCCACGCGTCAAGCAGAGACATCACTCTCCTAGATGCCATCCGGGTGTGACCCCAAATTTTGGAGGTGGTATGGCCCCCGCCCCGAGCTCCCCAGTCGCGGGGTGGGTGAGTATCCGGGAGCTCGGGGCCCCTCCGGGCCAGAGGGGAGAGGCGGGTCACACGCGGTCGCCCTCCGGAAGTCACTGGTGGGCGCAGGGACCGGTGGACTGGACGGCCGGCGGGGGCGGGGCGGGGCCTGGACGGCCGGCGGGGGCGGGGGCGGGACGGCCGGCGGGGGCGGGGCGGGGCCTGGACGGCCGGCGGGGGCAGGGCGGGGCCGGGACGGCCGGCGGGGGCGGGGCGGGGCCGGGACGGCCGGCGGGGGCGGGGCGGGGGCGGGGGCGGGACTGGACGGCCGGCGGGGGCGGGGCGGGGCCGGGACGGCCGGCGGGGGCGGGGCCTGGACGGCCGGCGGGGGCGGGGCGGGGCCTGGACGGCCGGCGGGGGCGGGGCGGGGGCGGGGGCGGGACTGGACGGCCGGCGGGGGCGGGGCGGGGCCGGGACGGCCGGCGGGGGCGGGGCGAGGCCTGGACGGCCGGCGGGGGTAGGGCGGGGCCGGGACGGCCGGCGGGGGCGGGGCCTGAAGCTCGGGTGTTTGCTCCAAGAGTCTCGACCTTGGGGCGGCGTGGTGCGTGCGACCGCGGGACTCCAGCAATGGGTGACGACGCTGCGCCGCAGGCCCCTAGACCGGGGGAGGCTGGGGGTCGCCGCGCGCGCCCTCCCAGCCGCCCCCCACAGACTTGGGCGCCCTCCGCCCACGGAGGGGCAGTGGGAGCGGGCGGACGCGCCCCCGCGGGAGGGCGGGGTCCCAGGCCGGGGCTGCGCGCGGCCTCTCGGGTTCCGGGAGCCCCGGGATAGAGGAGCAAGCGCGGGGGTCCGGGGCGCACGGTCTCCAGCCCGAGCGGGTGGAGAGGTCAGTGGCGGACCGGGGAGAAGGCAGCCCTGACCAGCGCTGGCCGGACACCGCGCGGTGCCGGGTGGTCAGGACCGGGTCCTGGGATGGTGCCGCCTGCGCCAGATCGGCCTCGGGCACGGACTGCACCCCCCATGCCTCAGTTTACTGGTCTGCGAAGGGAGGGTGATACTGGTCGGACTTGCTGTGAGGAGGTGAGAGGGGCCCCCCTTCGCCCCTCCGAAAGTTGAGAATTTGTTGGCTGTTATTACTCTGTTTGCTCCGGTTTTTTTTTTTTTAATTTTTTTTTTTTTTTATTTATGATAGTCACAGAGAGAGAGAGAGAGAGAGAGGCAGAGACACAGGCAGAGGGAGAAGCAGGCTCCATGCACCGGAAGCCCGATGTGGGATTCGATCCCGGGTCTCCAGGATCGCGCCCTGGGCCAAAGGCAGGCGCCAAACCGCTGCGCCACCCAGGGATCCCTGTTTGCTCCGGTTTTACAGAAAGGGAAACCGGGGCTCGCTGGGAGGGGCTTGTAATCGTGGCCCACGGTGATACGCAGCCGCAGCCGGCAGAGCCCAGGTCTGGCCAGTTCCCCAGCCAACTCCATAAAGTTCTGCAAAGGAAACCCTCCCCTGGTTTTCCTCACTCAGTGGACCCAGTTTTTCTTTCCTTCCTCTGAGTGTCCCCAGCCCCATGTCACGCTCTCTCCCGGTCATCCCCGGGGGGCAGTGTAGGAAGCTAGGAATCTGAGTCCCCCCGGGGCTGCCCCGATGCCCCCAGACATGTTAGGGCACTGATGGGGGCCTCAGAAAGCACCTGCTTGGCGATCGAGGGTGGGGCTGTCTTCCAGGTCTGCTCTCAGAACTGAAGCTGGCTGTGCCCTGGGGTCACATCGCTGCCAAAGCCTGGGGCTCCCAACAGGGCTCCCCAGTTCTTTGCCTGCACGGCTGGCTGGACAATGCCAACTCCTTTGACAGACTCATCCCTCTTCTTCCAAAAGGTGGGAGTGCAGGGAAGCCAAGGGGCAATGTGACATAGACTGCAGGGGCATGAGGAGTGGGGAGACGGCTCACCTAGACGCCTTCCCTGACCCGTATCTCTTGCCTCAGACTTCCATTATGTTGCCATGGATTTCGGGGGACATGGGCTCTCGTCCCATTACTACCTTGGTGTCCCGTATTGCCAGGAAAACTTTGTGAATGAGATCGGGAGAGTTGTAGCAGGTGAGTCGGAGGCAGTGTGTGTGTGTGTGTGCGTGCGCGTGCACGCACACTGGGACACCCCCTCTTCTTGTTGGAGTGGGGTGTGGTGGCCGGGAAACAGTGCTGCCTGAGAGTGACCTGGCTCTGGCCCCAGTTTTCCCAGGGATTCAGAGGTGACTTGGGGAAGGTTGGGAGAAGGCTGCCAAGAGCTCTCCTCCTTCTTGGGGCTCTACCCCTTGCAGGGAAGCTAGAACCCCTCCAAGCTAGTTCCCTGAGTGTGGCACCCCAGCTGCTGGGGAGGGATGTCCCGAGCACAGGGACTGCAGGGCAGGGTGGGGGGCAGCCCGGGCCCATCCTGACCTGGCTCTGTGTTTTCAGCCTTGAAGTGGAAGCGTTTTTCCCTCCTGAGTCATAGTTTTGGTGAGTAGAGTTTACACTTTGGCTGGGAGGGGGCCGAGTGGGCTGAGGGGCTGCGAGGGAGGGAGAGGAGGTGGTACACAGTACCCTGCACTTCTGGGCGCTGCCAGAAGACATGAGGGGGTTTGTGGGTGTCCTGGACACTATGCCCTTTGGCCTGAACCACCCCCCTCCAGGGGACATACGGCCTCAGAGGTGGTACGACAAGGGAATATGTGACCTTTTGGGTGGCGAGGTCTGATGAAGGGGCCATGTGGCCTCCGGGACGGAATGAAGAGCCCTGCCTCCCCTTGGTGGGAGAGAGCCAGGCCCCTAGCCCGGGGAGGGGCAGCCCCTGTGAGAGAGTCTTGGTAGGATTCGGAGAGCTGGGGAGTACCAGGTCACTACTCTTTTGTCCCCCAGGTGGCATTATCGGCGGAATGGTGAGTAGATGGCTTTGCAGTGTCCACCTCTGGCAACGTCAGGCATTCCTGCAGGTGGGGCCTGAGGTGGGCAGGGGAGAAGGAGGAGTTACCGGGAAGGGAAGTGGCTCCTCCTGTCACAAATTGGAAGTGAGCACTTTATGGCCTAGGGCCAGTTTGCTTTATAGATGGCGGTGATATAATCATTATTGCCGGGACATCAGTGAAACTGGATTCCTGATGGAGTTCAGAGTTTCCACACTCCCCATCCCCAGAGAATCCTGGAATCCAGCCATCACCTGGGCGTGGACCTTGGTCTGGATGTGGACCTTGGGCAGGGGGGTACCCTGAAGGGACTGAAGATTCTTTTTCTGGCCACTTGGAAACACCCGTGTCCCCAGGGAAAACCTTGAGTCCTTTTGCCTTCTTCCCCTCCTACTCATTCTTTCCTTTTTGGGTCACATCATAGTTTTCCTGTATCTTCCCCGAGATGGTGGATAAACTGATCTTGCTGGACACATTGCCATTTATCATGGACCCTAAAGTAAGAGTGAGGGCTTTCATGGATGCTGTCGTGGGGGAGACCCATGCCCCTGGCAGTGGGCGGGTACCAGGGAGGTGGGAGGAGGCCGCAGAGGGCAGATATGGGGGCTGAGGGGGCCTCCACAGGGGACAGGGCTGTGCAGCCTGTACCCCTAAGGAGTGGGCAGAGGTGGGCAGCCCCGGTGGCTCAACGGTTTGGCACCACCTTTGGCCTAGGGTGTGATCCTGGAGACCCAGGATCAAGTCCCACATCGGGCTCCCTGCTCAGAGCCTGCTTCTCCCTCTGCCTGTCTGTCTGTCTGTCTCTGTCATGAATAAACAAATAAAACCTTAAAAAAAGAAAAAAAGGAGTTGGCAGGGTAAAGGGAAAGCCTTTGTCATCCTTGGAAACCCTATATGTGGCCTGGGACATATAGAATGCCAGGTCTATCACCAAGCAGTAGGGCCTGGGAGAGGGCAGGAACAGTGGATTGAGGGGGCTCTGGGGGCACACAGCCCAATGAGGCCGTCCACACTCATGTTCAGTTGTGTGCATTTGTGCTGTGCGCACATTGCACAACAGCACACAGCAGCCCTGGGTGTGGACGGAAGGGAAGTACCGATCCCTCCCACCACTGCCGGTGACAACAAACGAGGCTGTCCCTGCATCTGAGTCCTGGTTCTGCCACTCATCTGCTGGGTGACCCTGGGCAAGTCACTGGGCCTAGCTGAGTCTCCGTTTCCTCACCTGTAAAATGAGGAGGTTAGCCTAAATGACCTTGGAGTTGCCTGCCTGTTGTCACATTCTGTCACTCCATCCCCAGAAGCTCAGCCTCTCGGTTGTGACACAGCTTTGTCACCAGCTTCGGTTGCTTATCTGTAAAATGGCCACAGATGCCAAAAGGGCCTGAGCTGTGCTGTCTTTTTTTATCACCGCCTGCCCAATCCCAGCACATAGTGAGCGCTCAATTCGTGTTGGGTTCATGGGTGGATAGCTTGTGGGTGAATGTGAGGATCTGGTGAGGACCCTGGGGCTATTTTCTGTTTCATTTGCCGAGTTAACAAACATGGTGCCCTAGGATCCTTTCTGGGGCCCCTGGGTATTTGGTCCTCCCTGTCCTGCATTCTCAGGGACTTGGCTGAGAGTGTCACTTCCCACCGGTGCTCTGGGTGGCGGACTGTGGACAGGATTGGGCTGTTGTCCGAGTGAGCTGAGCTGGAAATGGGTGCACTCGGAGGGTGTCCAGAAGCCCCCTCTGCGGTCTCCTGTCTGCCACCTGGAGGGATGGCAGGAATTAAAGCAGATAAAGTTGCCAACCCGGGATGCTCTGTGACTTACAGATCTAATACTGAACCTTTGCAAAGCACTTGCAGTTGCCAGAGATTTCCTTTCCCCTCCATCGCCCTCACCCCTCCAGCTGTCCCGACCACTGGCAGGGCTGGCCCGGAAGTCAGTGAGGCAGACAACTCACTCCGAGCCCAGGGATGACTAGCAGGGACTGATCCTGTGCCGCCCTTCACCAGGTCAGAATGGATCTCGGGTCAGAATGGACCCTGACAGAGGGGCCGCTGACAGCAGAGGGTGGAGGGGGGAGCTGAGCCCCTCTGTCAGCAGCCCAGAGCCCTGCCCACCCAGCAGAACCCACAAATCCCCAGGGAATGGAGAACATGCTGACTTACAGGCGGGGAGCCATAGAGCACATGCTGCAGGCAGAGGCCTTCCAGAAGCCCCGGCAAGTGGTCAAGCCAGAGGAGATGCTGCAGAAGTGAGTGCCAAGGGGGAAGGGGGGCTGGCGGGAGGGAGTGGCGGGAGGGAGACCTGGGTGCAAGTGCAGGATATGAAGGGAGGAAATCTCTGGGGTACAGAGGCCGCGTCTGTCTCCTCAGCAGGAATCCACCCCGGCCCTGTTGCTCTGTGCTCGCCCGGGTATCGGGCCTCCTGGCACTCACTCTTCAGAGCCTTGCATCCTCCCTGCTCTGTAGCCACACACTTCGTTTACCAAGACCCCTTTCCACACGCTCTGTACCCATCTTCCTCTCCCTATAATCGTGCACACGTGTGCATGCACACACACACAGTCCTTCCTTGCATACATTTTCTCTCTGTGACTCCTACCTGGACCTCTCTGCAGGCACCTTGCTAACTTGCCCACTCCTCCTCCTGCCTTAGCTGACTGCCACTTCCTCTGGGAGCCTGCCCCCCACTCCCCTAGGTGAGCTGCTCCTCCCTGCCCTGTAGATAATTGAAGGTCTGTGGGTGGTGACCATAGGCTGGTTGCCTCTGTATATCTAGCACCTGGAAGTGCTCCTGGTGGTCAGGGACCTACAAATATTTGTTATCTAAGGGAGAGAAAGGGATCCCTGGGTGGCTCAGCAGTTTGGCACCTGCCTTTGGCCTGGGGCGTGATCCTAGAGTCCCGGGATCGAGTCCCGCGTAGGGGGAGTCCCTGCATGGAGCCCGCTTCTCCCTCTGCTTGTGTCTCTGCCTCTCTCTCTGTCTCTCATGAATAAATAAATTAAATCTTTTTATTTTATTTTATTATTTTTTATAAGTATTTTTTTTAATTTATTTATTCAGAGAGAGAGAGAGACTGAGAGGCAGAGACACAGGCAGAGGGAGAAGCGGGCTCCATGCAGGGAGCCCGATACGGGACTCGATCCCGGGTCTCCAGGATCAGACCCCGGGCTGCAGGTGGTGCTAAACCGCTGCGCCACTGGGGGTGCCCTATTTTATTTTTTTTAAGATTTTATTTATTTATTCATGAGAGACACACACACGGGGGGAAGGGGGGCAGAGACATAGGCAGAGAGAGAGAAACAGGCTCCATGTGGGGAGCCCGATGTGGGATTCAATCCGGGATTCCAGAATCACGCCCCGAGCTGAAGGCAGGCACTGAACCACTGAGCCACCCAGGCGTCCCTAAATTAAATCTTTTTAAAAATTTTTTTGAAAAAATAAAGGAGAGAAAATACACACACACACATATGTGTGCTCACACATGCGTGCGGAAGAGTTGATGGAAACATCCCCCTTGACACATGCCTGTGTCCCTTGTGGGCGGCCTCCTCTTCTTTCCATCTGGCCTTCTCTGCCCCAGGACCTTCATGTCCCTCTGTCTTCCCCAGATTCCTGAAGAACAACAATCACTTGAATGAGGAGTGTGGGCGACTCCTCCTGCAGAGAGGAACCACGCAGGTGGCCACAGGTAGGGACTCACCATCCAAGACCGTTACTTCTTGGCACTGTCCTTACTGAGGAGCGATAACCACTAGACCCTCTGGCAGCCTGCTCTGGAGCAGACGTGGCACTCAGTGCTTGGCAGGGTGTATCTCATGCCATCCTACTGCTGCCCCATACTTCCCCCGTCCAGAGCTGGAGAAACTGAGGCTCCAGTAGTAGGCCAAGTGACATGTGCCAGGTGAGATAGGCCCGTGGGGAGCGTAGTCCAGTGTCTGGAGAGTAGATGTTGGGGAATGTCGCCGCCGTGCTCTGCTGACCCTGTGTGGTGGGTGCCAGTGTCCGAGGCTGGGGTTTGGGGATGTCCTACGGGGCAGCGCAACTCGAAAGAGGTTTTGCAAAATGGAGAAGTAGGGTAGGTGGCACCTGGGCCTTAGGGCAGCATCAGGCCCGGGCTTTCTGCACTTCCTTACCCAGTAATATTCACCCGGGAAAACTTTACCAAGAGTTTGCTCAGTGCCAGCCCCGAGCAAGGCCACCGCGGGAGCTGGGGTGAGCGAGAGCAGACTCTGCCCCTCTCCTGGGGGGCTGGCACCTCTGGCTGAGGGCACCGTTCACAAGTGCCCTCCCTGGAAATGACTCCCCAGGGGTTGAGCAAGGAGGAGACCAGGTCAGAAACGTACACTCTAGGAGGCGAAACAGATGATAAACAAGTAAACAGACCAAAAACAATAGACATTTTATTATAAGTGTGATAAACGGAGCACCTGGGTGGCTCAGTGGTTGAGTGTCTCATGATCCCGGGGTCCTGGGATCGAGTCCCACATCGGGCTCCCCGTCGGGAGCCTGCCCTCTCCCTCTGCCTGTGTCTCTGGCTGTCTCTGTGTCTCTCATGAATAAATAAATGAAATATATTTTTAAGTGCAATAAAAATATACAGGGTGTTCTGGAAGACACCCACAGACGGGGGTCCCAGCAGCAGCTCCCAGGAGGTGGAGTAGAAGCCCACAGGAGAGAGTCGGGGACAATGGAACCTGCAATAAATCGGGCAGGAACGCCTGGGTTGATTCCTAACTCTGCTAGCTCAAGGTCTTAGGCAAGTCCCTCCTCCCTTTTAGACACCTCCTCCCCATTTTTCTCAGGTGATAAGCAACGTCTTGGGATCTTTGTGCATATGGTCAGAGAGGATCAAGCGAGGTGGTGAATGCAGCTTCAGTTTATAAAGTACCAGAAGAGGCAGGGGTCAACCCCAAGTGCTTGCTGGATCTGAGCAAGTTGTGGAATTAATCGGGCTGCTGGGAGTCAGGCAGCAGGGAGTGGTAGGGGCTGTGGGTCTGGGGGCAGGACAGCCCAGCCAGTGGTTATCACCGGGGACTCAGGCCTCGCATGGCCAGAATTTCCAGTTACTCACGAGAAGCCAGAGACCTCCCGTGTTGCCAACACACCACAAGGTCAAGTGGAATATGCTTAAGGGATGATTTGGCCTCGGGCTGCCAGTCTGTGACTTTTCCTGAAGGGACTCATCTCCGAACCTCACAAATCCGCCACGCAGAGGAGAGGTCGAGGCGGAGGGCCATGGGCCCGGGCTTCCCAATGTGCCCGCACAGATGGCTCACCCCGAGGGGCCCCGGCGCAGAAGTGGGCTAATCCGGAATAAGACACATTCCCAGCTGGGCTGGGGAAGCTGCTTAGGCCAGGCCCGGGTCACATGAGTGGTGAGCCCGGACACCGCAGCCGTGGGCGAGGAGGGAAGAGGGGAGTGGACAAGGCCCCTCTGCAGCAGTCATGGCCCCTTGGGGCCGGAGGGTAACCTAAAACAAGACAGAGCGGGCTCCCCACGCCCACTGGGTGGTGTGACACCTGGAGAGCTGCTGCTCCGGGGTCGTCATCCTCAGGCCCCAGAGCCCATGACCATCCCCACACCCCTCTGGAGCAGCAGAGAGCAGGGGCAGCCCCATCACTCCACCTGATCCTGTAACCGAACCCAAGGTCACGGGCCCGATGCACAGCACAACCCATCACTGAGCCAGCAGGTGTGCAGTAAGGAGAAGGTTTATGTGAGAGGCAGACAGGGGAGGAGGCGAGGAGCTGGGGCAACAGCCCGAGGTGGACATCCAGGGTTTAAATGCAAGTGGGAAAGGGTCTGGGTAAAGGGGAGAGGAGCTGTGTGACTCAAAACCAGATAAAGCAAGTTACTGGGTCAGGGAGGGCTTGTTTCATTTTGTTGGGCTCTGAGGGGAGGTCAGTGGTCCCGAGCAGTTCTGGCAGGCTTCTTTTTTTTTTTTTTAATTTATTTTAAAGATTTTATTTATCTATTCATGAGAGACATAGAAGGAGAGGCAGAGACACAGGCAGAGGGAGAAGCAGGCTCCCTGCGGGGAACCCGATGTGGGACTCGATCCCAGGACCCTGGGATCATGAGATGCTCAACCACTGAGCCACCCAGGCGGCCCTCTGGTTGGCTTCTCGATGAAACCTTGAGTCTCCAAAAAACATAAATTAACTCTCGGTTATCATGGTGTCAGGCGAGAGTAATACCCTACAGGAACGTGGCGGCCGATAGCATTCCCAAAACAAGCAGGTTTGGGTAAGGAAGCTGCAGCTGCCATGGTTGCCCCGTTAACTCTAGTTACTGTTTTCTGTCCCTACTGTCTTTGATCAGTCCTTGTTCATGAGCAAATCCGCATGATGACCACTCTGGCTATTTCCTGCTGAAATCGGGCTGAGATTGGGGTGAGAGGAACAGATCCTTTCTGCCCTTAACTGGAAACATTCCTTAGTTCTGGCTTAAAATCCTACATTCTGCATTACTAGAATTTTTGTACTTTGATTTTTCTTTATTTAAGATTGTCTTTATTTTGAGAGAGGGAGAGAGTACAAGCAGGGAGCCCACCATGGGTCCCTATTCCAGGACTTTGAGATCATGACTTGAGCCAAAGGCAGACGCTTAACCAACTGAGCACCCAGGTACCCCTGTACTTTGGGTGATAGCTTTGGTACGTTTTGTACCGCATTTTGTGATTAAGTAGCAAAGAAGGAGAATTAGGAATCTGGAAAGTTCCACATTTGAGTAAATAATCCTAGGAAGATTGACCTAAATCCTTGGAGAATCCTAGAAAATAATCTGGAAAAGCAGTCCAAATCTGAGACTGGGAACTCAGCGATTTGTTGCAACCAAGTAGCCTGTTGTCTTTATTTTGTCAAGTGGAACTTCCACTTCTGAGGAAGGATTAATATATGTGCCAGCTGATGAATTAGTTAACATACAAATCCTTCCTTGTTCTGCTAAACTATAACCTATAACACTTCTGTTATCTAAAACTATTCTGGCTAGAGTCCTAAGTCCTCCTCTTGAGCTGCTATAGCTGAAACAGTTTTGTTAGCAAATAATCCCAAAGATACAGAGAGGTTTCTAATCTTATGTTCCTGGGCTGCCACTGCTCACCGGGGTAGTAAAGTTCTTCCAAAGAAAGAGCCTGTTCAATAAATTAAAAAAAAAAAAAAAAAAAGGGATCCCTGGGTGGCGCAGCGGTTTGGCGCCTGCCTTTGGCCCAGGGCGCGATCCTGGAGACCCGGGATCGAATCCCACATCGGGCTCCTGGTGCATGGAGCCTGCTTCTCCCTCTGCCTATGTCTCTGCCTCTCTCTCTCTCTCTCTCTCTCTCTCTCTGTGACTATCATAAATAAATTAAAAAAAAAAAAAAAAAGAAAGAGCCTGTTCCATCGTCCGGACACCCTGGTAGATAGTCCTGCACTCCTCCCCCGATCATGTCACCATTCAATATGGACTTTTTAGTTCTGGGGAAAAAAAGAGCTGGCCCAATGCTGAACATCCTTGGAATTATAGAGAAAGAAAGAAGGGAATAGGTGGCCTAGTAAATGAGAAACTCTTGTCCACCTCTGTCCCAGCGTTCGTAGGCCCGAAGCTCATCAGTTGACCCACAGACAAATATATATCCCATTGGGGCTCAGAGGGATTCTGGACATGTTTGGAAAATTAAGCTTTTCAGTGTGGGAGATCTTGTTTAAAACCTGGTCAAGTCAGGGATCAATAGAAAGCAGTGTCCACTTGAAATTCATATCACGTGCCTGTGAAGGGGAAGAGATTCCCTTGAGGTAGGTACTATTTTGTGACCTCCAATCTGTACATAGGCAAGAGGTAGTGTAACCTGAAGACTGATTAGTCCTTCTTTGCTGAACTAAAAAAAGAGACGGTGTTCCAGGAAATGGGTTATGTTAAGCAAACAAGTAGTCAATGTCTGTTATAGAGTGTTCAGTTTTTATGACCATAGGTTCCAGTGCCCTTATGTGAGCCTCCTAAGGCCATTACAGGGGACACTATAGGGGGTGTTAAAAAGAAACAGGGTACACAGAATGCTCTGTTAAGTTTTTTTTTAGATTTTATTTATTTATTCACAAGAGATGAGAGAGAGAGGCAGAGACACAGGCAGAGGGAGAAGCAGGCTCCATGCAGGGAGCCCGATGCGGGACTTGATCTCGGGTCTCCAGGATCACACCCTGGGCCAAAGGCGGCGCTAAACCGCTGAGCCACCCAGGCTGCCCCTCCATTAAGTATTTTGACCACATAGGTTGCCATGAAGTTGGGCTCCTTGGAGAAATTGATTATGGGCATAGCTGTGGAGTCAGCGTGGTCGGGTATGGAGAAGGGCTTCAGGTAACATATCCAGCAATCAGACAAGTTACCTGAAGAAGCTAAAGTTTGTGAAACTCTGACCATGGAATTATCTTTCCAAGTAAAAGAGATTGAGGATTACCGAGCAAAGCGAACAACCCCGAGTAGTTCTAATCATCCCTTAGTGGGATTGTCTCCTGAATAACACTTTGAGGTCCTTCTTTCAGGGGCTTACAAGAACAGCTTAGCAAATTCTTTTTCAGAAAGTGGTCAAGGGAGGTCTGTGCTCTGGGTGTGGCATCATCTAAGCTTTGGGTGATCCCAGCTCTTTGGTGGATTTGGTGTGGGTTTTTTTTTTTTTGTTTGTTTGTTTTTTTTTTTTGGTGGGGGGGAGG